TATATTTAAAAATAAAAATAAAAATAAAATAAAACACAAAATGTGTGAAACTAAAATACAAATATTTATTCAAAGTAAGGTCGTTTTTTTCTTTTTATTTAAATAAAAAAAAAAAAAAAATTATTTTTCTATTGTTTTTGTTTTATAAAAAAAAAAAAAATAATAATAATAATAATAATAAAATGATTATTTACTCTAATATGTGTTAATTTATATATTTTTTTATAAAATTAATTGTTATTATTATTATTTTTCATTTTAAATATGATTTATTATAAATTCGATTGAGTTTTTATTTATTTATTCGTTTGTTTGTTTGTTTACTTATATTTGCAATATTTAAAAAAAATTGTAAAAGAAAAAAAAGAAAAAAAAGAAAAGTGTCTAATTAATTATTTTCTGTGGTATTAAGGCGTGTAATCACGCCAAACGAAAGTTTTATTATTATTATTATTATTTATTCTTATCAATCAGACAATTTTTTATCAGAATCTTTGAGATTTTTGTTTTGTTTATAATAAAATGGATGAAAAAATTGACGTTGATGAAGATTTAAGTGATGGTCGTTAGTTAAACATATACACATATTCGTAATTTTTTTTTTTTTTTTTTTTTTTTTTTTAACACCAATTTGGAGTAAAATTTAAATTTTACTATTTTATAAAAAAAATTTTTTACCTTCGATATTGATAAACATGTTTACTATCGTTTGTTTTTACTGATAATAATAATAATAATAATAATAATAAAAACAAAAACAACAACAACGCATGAATTAATTATAAAATCGTTTGTAGCGGAAATTTATTTAAAAAGGTTGATTATTTTCGATTGTACTAATTATTATTATTATTACTTTCAGGTTCTGCAAACGTTAACAGTTCGAAACAACAAAATTCAAAACCTGAAGATTATCGTCATAACGTTTTTATGGAGTCCAAATTACAACCCATACCTCCGGACACATCCTCCGAAGAATCCGTTAAAATATACGAAGAACACAAAGAGGTAAGATTTTTTTTTTTTTATTAACTTTATCATTATTATTATTATTATTATCGTTATTATTGTTTTTAGATGGCGAAGGAATACATGGAAGTACAAGCGGAAATGAGTTATTTAAGTAGATATTTAAAAAAATTAGAGGAAAAATTAAATAAAACGGAAGAGCAGAGACAGCAAATACAACAACTCGTTAGCGAAAAGGTAAGAAGAAGAAGGAGTTGTGACGTCATCGTTTAAGTTTGTCTTTATTATAATTTTTTTGTGTTTGTCGTACTAGGAAAGTCTCGAACAACTACAAAAAAATCTAACGAAACAATTGGAATTATTGCAAAAGCAAAGACAGGGAAACTGGATGTTTTCAAACAGCCAAGATCCGAGATTAACTTGAATTTGATTGTTTGAAATTAATTTTTTTTTTTTTCTCATTGTGGTGTTCTTCAATTGAAAATTTCCTATTTCTATCTCTCTCTGTCTCTATCTTTCTATCTTTATCTTTATCTATCTCTCGATTAGCAATTGTAAGCTTTTAGTGTTTAAAAAAAAAATTAAATTAATGTTCTTGTTGCACACACACACAAACAACAAAAAAATTTTCGACTTTAGCCTCTTGAAAAATTATTATTATTATTATTATTGTTATATTTGGTTTAATTAAATAGAATAATGGGGATCTTATCAGTTATTTGTTAATAATAATAATAATAATATTACTGACGCCAAATACTTTTTTTTTTCATTATAAAAATTTATATTATTTAAAAAATAGATAGAAAACTATTACATAATAGAAAAAAATAATCAATCAATAACAATTGAAAATATTTTACAATAACAACCTTGATTCGGATAACAATAATAATAATAATAATAATAATGATATAAAAAATTAATAATTATTAATGAAAAATTTTAAATATTATGTCAAAAAAAGGGAGCAGAAGGAGCAGAAGCAGAAGCAATAATAAAACCAAATGAAAATTTTTTTTTTTATTTGTTTCAATGTAAAAAATTAATTATTATTATTATTATTATTATTACTTATTTACCACGTGGAATGAATGAAAAAGTTAATAATTTAATGTTGTTTAAAAGACTAAAAGTGAAAAGACTGGTTTTGTTATTATTATTATTATTAATAAATATTATTATTATTATTTTTATATTAATATTGAATTCTTCGATTGCAATCATTAATAATAATAATGATGACGATGGGAAGAAAAAAAAAAAAAGTTTTTATTGCGCTTTATTTTAATTTATGTAAATTATTTTTAATATTATTAATAAAAAAAAAAAATAAATAAATATTTATGTAAATTTTGTAAATAAAAATTTTCATTGTAAAATAAAAAAAATGTTGTTATTATTATTATTATTATTATTACGAATCACACGTATTATGTTTATTTATTTATTTATTTATTTATTTATTTTAATTATTATTTAATTAAAAGTAAAAATCAAAAATGGTTAATAAAATGTAAATAAAAGTTGATAATCACGTTAAAAAAAAAAAAAAGAAAAGATGAAAAGTCAGCAAAAAAAAAAATTTTCATTGGTTTCGAAAGTTCATGACCTTTTACGAAAAAAGTTATGCTTACCTAAAATTAAAAAAAAAAATTTAAATTTATGTGTAAAAAAAAAAAAAAAATGTTTTAAATAATTGATAAAAAAAAAAAAAAAAAAAAAAGTTTTTAAAATGTTTAAATATATAGTTTTAATATCAAGTCAATTGTATAATCAACAAGTCAACAACAACAACAACAATAATAATAATAATAATTGAAACGTTTAAATATTTTTTTGTTTGTTTTGTGAACTTGAAACTTTTAAATTTTTAAATATGGATGATAATAATAATTAATTAATTTTTTTTTTAAACGTTATTAAATCGAATGTGTTTGTGTTTTTTTTTTTTTTTATTTTGTGAAATCATTTTTTTTAAAAATTTGTTTTTTTTTTTTACAATGGCTCATTATGTTCATTTTTTTTTTTTTTTTTTTTTTTTTTACAATGAAAAAAAAAATTAACTTTTTTTTTTTTTTTGGGAAAAGTTTTTGTTAAAAAAAAAAAATATTCCTTTAGGATTTGGGATTAATTTTAAAAAAAAAAAAAAAAAAAAAAACATGAAGAAAATTAATAGTAGTAGTAATAGTAATAATAATAATAATAATGATTTTACATGCGGTTTGGGTAATTGGAGACCGAAATATTTACAAAAATTTTCAAATTTAAAATGTTTTATGGTTGTTTATGGTCTTTTGGGTACAATACAAGCAATGTCATTTGTTTATTTCATAGCAACATTAACAAC